CTCTATTTCAGAGAAYTCCCTTGTGAACTATCAGCATTACTAGAATCGTCTTCATCTACACAAAAACACCCAAAACGCTGTGCGTAGTCAGCTGCAACTATTACCGAAAAATTTTAAACAACATGCGTGAAATTGTTGAAAATTCTTTTAAATAAGATGCTCTTTCATGKCTCCTTAAATCCTGTTTATGTTTGGATTGAAACAATAACAACAAMAAAAAACTGTTCTGTAAACACGAAACACCTTTCCCGTGCGGATGGCCCCTCATTTACACAAATAAACACACCGATCCATACATTTCGGTGGCTCTGTGTGATGACAGAAGGGTCTCTACCCACTGGGGGCCTCGGGATCAACAGGGACAGCAACACCAAACACGCATCAATCAGCAGCAAACGCCCGTCGGGACGGTGATTTGAGCGTGCGAGAGAACAAGACACGCAGCCAAGCAGCCGCCATCGGACCCAGAGATGTTCTCTTGCTCTTTTTCCAAACATTCCCCAGGGGGAGACTTCTTTGTTGGCCACATCCACCCTCTCTGTTTACTATCCTTTTATTCCCCCCCTCTTCTCTTCTCAACGCTCTTTTCTACCCTTCCAGACAATCTTTCCAGAAGCGACTGTTGCGGGCCAGAATATATTTGTTTAGCCACTGTTGCTCCACCTTCCCATCAGCCAAGAACAAATGCTTTGCCTTGGGAGCGGGAAGAYGGAGAGAGGATGGTGGAGGATGGGGGGGAAGAGAGCCCACAGCGGGTTGGGAGCTCTTGTTGTGGAGTGGATCTGACAGACGCTCTAAGATGACACAGGCTTGGACAGCCGATGTCTGCATCTCTCCCCGCTATACATCTGCGCCTATTTGTCTACACTCCCTCTCATTTGTGCGTCTCAGAGCTGTGTGACTGCGGGCCTGAAAATTCGCCTCGACAGTGATTTAGGATTTCTTCCATCAGACGGTGCAAACAATGTATCAGCGCGGCGAAACTGCAACAGAACTTGRGACGAGGCGAGCATGGTGTATTCTAATAAGACTCACTTGAGAAAATCATATTATACAGTTGGGGTATGATAATTCACACACCCTTTRCTGGAGCGGTGAACTGGTGCGGGTGGTGTACTCTCAAATGTCAGCATAAATTTGCAAAATAAACGCAACCCGGCGTTCAGCGGGGAGTAGAAGCAGGGACAATAAGGGTTTTTGTATTTTATTTTCGTGTGTTATTTGTGTGCGTGGGCATGACGCGTGCTTTGAGAGGAGGGGTGTGTGTGACTTTCTCCACACACCCCTGTTTCAGCTCGCAGGGGTTTGACGCCAGCAAGTGTTTGAGCTGATGTACGCTCACATGAGTTTGCAGGAGAAGCACGAGGGCTCGAGGAAAACATGAAATCCCTGTGGCATCRATCAATCCAACCTGCATTAACTTAAGAATATGCAAACCTATCCGAAAGGACAAGTAAATGACGAATCATTGCTGTTTGAAGACTGAAACTCATCTGGAATCTTGTTGGAGTGAAATAAAAAGTTGAAATCAAGAGGGACATATGTGTGCTCACATGCGTACACTAACATGTTCGATACCCCAGTGATGCTTTAAGCCTTAGCATCTTTTTTACTACCTACTAAGCCTACAACCTTTTATTTCCAATCCACGGGCTTTAGTTCTGGCTGGCTTAAAGCCAAGCATTGCCTTGTCCATGTGACTGTTCCTCTATCCATCTGTCCCGACGTCTCTTTGGGTTTTTGTCATATTTGCAGGCCTTTTTTTTTGTTTTCCATCTTTCGCCTCTTTCTGCTTCTCGTGCTCCACCTGTCCAGCTACCATCAGCGTGTCTTGCAAAAGCAAAGATGACAAAAGCGTGTCAAAAGGCGACGCGRGTGCCAGTTTTCTTTCAAATCACACTGCGCTGACTCGCACCCTGCAACAGCTGTAAATGCCTTCATCTGCATATCTGCGTTGTGGTCGTGACCGCCGRCGGGACTGTCCACGCTGGAATGTGGATAAGCCCAAAGCGTGGGGGCGAACCTTTCCATCAATCAAACGGTTGAAGCTCGACGCGAAATCTGAGAGGAGACCTGCGCTTCAAAAGACGTCGGGTCACACTTTTGTGCTGTTACCGTTGGCTGTACACAGGGAACTTATTGGACTAACTATCCCTTAACAACTGCAGTCAAAAATAGACTATGGACTTTCAYGGTCGACTGGTTTTTGAAGAGGTGTCAATTACGCCGGGCCAGGAGCGATAGCTGCCATGCGTGTGTTTGTGGGTGTTAAAAGATGGGGGGAGGGGTACAATGGATCATTCTCCACATTTTGTGTTGGGGACATATCGGACCGTGTCAGGGAACGGAGCTAAAGGCCGGCCAGTGGACAGTTTGTGATCTAAGGTTGCCTACAGAACAGATCACACAAAAGGACACAGATAGAAACACGGACTAACATGCTTTAATGCAAACACTTAAAGTGCTTTAACAGGGTGTAGACGATTTCCATACTCCCATTTATAATAAGACTTTTGCGGAGTTAATATATTCAGGCTTTGCTTTTCTTTATGTATCTATAACAAAGTTGATCCTTGTTTAGTCATTTGCCACGATGTCACATGGAACCTGAATAAAAGTTCAACAGAAACCTGCGGGTGTTTGTCTTTCTGTCAAAGCTGCAAATCATTTCTTTAACTGCTAAAYGCAGGTACGCTCTTCCAGGGAGCAGATTGTTTGATAGGGGACATATGAAAGGGGGCAACTCAGTGTGACAGCTGCACCCAGCTGTTCCACATGTTACTCCAAAGAGCCTCGATAATCTTCTTCCTGCTAGATYGCTGAGAGCAAGTTTATGCAGAAAAAAAGAAGGGGGTGGAAGGTGAAACGCAACAAAAGCAAGTACCATTGCTTTTTTTTTCTTTAATCTGGGCGGTTATTAACACTTTCTCTAATCTTCAACTTTCCAGTGGATGTTTTTCTGTTCCAYGCAGAGGCCAATCACGGGGGCGCATGAAGTGCAGCTGCTGCAACAGCAAACTTTCCTCTGTCAGATTAAGTGGGATTAGCTGGGTATGATGAACTCCGAACTCCAAGCTGGGTATGATGAACTCCGAACTTTGTATGGCGATTTCCAAATATGGGGGGGTAAATAAAAAGTTTGCAACTCCAGTTTCACAGTTTAATTAGAAGCCTCTCCATGCCCTCTGCATTATACAATCGCTGCTGGCTTGTGGAGTGTGTGAAAACATCACCCGCTTACTGCAATTTACAGAATTTCTATGGAGGCAAACACGTGCTGGGAAGTGCTGAAGCATGTGCACGGGCAGGTGCACAGATATAGGCTGCATCCCACATCGCGGCTCATGCACAGCTTCACGCTCAGAGCAAGTTTCCTCATCAGGGGATGCTGAGTTCCATTGTGTGTTAAAATGGCACGCACAMAGCCACATGCATACACTCTCATTGGTATTTTTATCCTCCCCTAGAGCCACTCGATGGCTGCTAGCCATATCACTCTCAGACTACAGAGAAGCCACGGTCACACCAGCTCGTACTCAAGACCCCCATCCCTTGTTGTGAGAGGGGAGTGTTTGGGGTAGTCCGGTGAAGTAGAATGTGTGGTGATATAAAGGGACTCTAAAATAAGGTGGTGAATGTTGGGGGGGGGG